AATTAACAAACGTTTCATTATCGATAAATAACATTTAAATTATAATACTGACAATAATTTATGATAAATACGTGTGTACTTTAAAATAAATTTTATTTATAAATTTTATTAATTCCGGTAACTTTATTTACCGATAATTATGACAATTGATCGAATAAATAATATATTGTAATATAATAATAATTAAATATTATTATATTATATTAAAAAAATATATTGTATAAAATTATTATTATTATTATTATTATTATTATTATTATTATTATTATTATTATTATTATTATTATATTTGGTATTTATGGCAATGAACTTTCAAGTTCCTAATGCCAATTAATAATAATAATAATTAAATATATAAATCATAAAAAAAATAAATTGATGATTTATCTAATTGCAAAAAAGAAAAATATAAGAAAAAAATATTAATAAATAATAATGAAAAAAAAAATAAAATCGTAAGATTTACAAAATTCATTATTTTATTTTCCTATCAACAAATTTGTAAACCGATAATAGTATGCTGTCATAATTAACGGCACGTATTTATAACAGAAAGATTTGAGATAATTAAAAACACTCACGCGATGAATGTCCATCTCTATCTTTCTCTTTCTCTCTCTCTCCCTCTCTCTCTCTCTCTTACTCTCCTTCTACCTCTCAGGACCTTCTTCTTTTCAGCATATCACACTTCGAATAAATAAACGAACCGAACAACAACAACAACAACAACAAAACAATACACACTTTACGAACTAATAAAAATAATTTTCAACTTCCTCGATAAGGTTGCAGAATTAAACCCCCATAAAAAAAAAAATTGTAATAAAAAAATTAATAATTATTAATAATTAATACATATATATATACGATATTGATCATATAAATTAAATTAAATTAAATTAAATTAAAAAGAAACCAAACAAAACCAAAACAAATCAAAGAAAAAAATTAAATATCAATGTCCCATAATAAAAACATATTAAAAAAATTAATAATTAAATTTATATATATATAATTATATATATCTATATTTTTTTTTAATAACAATTTAAATTTTGTCAAATATAATAAAAATCCTTGGTGGGTTTACTGTGACAATGAGTATCGACGCGAGACGAGATACAAATGACGTTACAACGAGAGCACGGTGAAAACTTAGCAGGAAGAGAAGGACTACTACTACTACTACGGATGGAAGAACACCATGGAAGTGGAAGAAGACTACTACTACGACTACTAAGACTCGAGGAACACTTTGGAGAGGGGAAACGAATGAGAAGAAGACAAAAAAAAAGGCAAGAAGAAAGGTGTTGTGCACTTGACCAGGGTCAAAGAGAGAGTCCCAATGGATTCTCTTATGCACGAATGACTTATATACATTCGCTTCTTCCCCCCCGTTCCCCCATAAACCCCTACCCCTCCCCAACCTTTTCTGTTTCTTTCTCATCCTTTTCTCCCTCTTATTCTTCTTCTTCCTTTTTCCAACCTTCCCCCTTTTTTCCTATCGGAAACGTTTCATCTCGTCATCGACCACCTACAGATACCATTTTCCTCCCCCCTAACCACTACCTCCTCCCCCGCTCATTCTTTTGAACATTATCTATAGCGTTTCTAATGATTCTCTTTCTTACCTGACACTGACATCTTTACCTGCTGAACCCCTGCTAAATATCCTATATACGAGTTGGACATATACGGATACACAAACTCATAAATTTACGCACACACACACGTATATAAAAATTATCTTTACATATTTTTTTTGTTTTGGTAAAATGGTTTTTTGAATTTTTGTTTCTTCTTCTGAATGACTAATATTTCGTTTATTTTATTTTTTGGTTTTTTGTTTTCAACTTATTTAAGTGAGTTATGGTGAAAAATTTTATAATTATTGTTAATATAGATTGTAGTATTTGTTATATAAATATAACAATAAATATAATAATAAATTATTATGATAATAATAAAAAGAAGAAGAAGAGAAAATGGAAAATGAAAATAAATTCATAGAAAATAAATATTTACATATCTTTACGACCTATCGTTTACTAAGAATGCATGAATAGTCATTCAGAAAAAAAGGTCTCCACTGAATATTTCGTTGAAAAAATTTCTTACCTGAGCTTCGAAAAAAGGTTTTGACGATCGATAGATATCACTTTCGTTTTTAGGGAGTGTCTTTTTTTTCTTCTATCCTTTCCCATAATCGCAAAATCTAAATATTTTTCTAAAATAGTTTAAATATATAAAACATCAATTTTTGATTTGTTTAAAATATAAATATTATATTTATATTATTTTATATTTCTTATATATATTAAATATCTAATATTAAAAAATAATATATTTTTTTATTATATTATAATAAAATATATTATATTATATATAAATATATATTTAATTTTAATTATATTAAATTTATTTACTCTATGTATTATTATATAATATTATTATAAAATATATTTTATATTTATTTATATTATATTTATTATATTATATACTATATTATAACTTATATATAATTTTATTATATTATAATATACTATTTGTATTATAAATAACAAACACACACACAAATTGAAAGAAAAAATAATTAAAAAATACATGTACGAATAACAAATTATCTAATAATAAATATTAATCAAAATCACATTGAAATAACATTAAAAAATTGTTATATCTTCTAAATATCAAAGAAACTAATTATCATCATTATTATTATTATTATTATTATTATTATTATTATTATTATTATTATTATTATTAATACTATTATTGTCATAATTATAAATCTTTGAACTAACTTCGTAGTTCATCTTACAAGGTGAAACGTGAAATGATCCGAAATGTCGGAAGACTTAACGCAACTTTACGTATGAGGTGGAAATCTTAAGAGAGAGAGAGAGAGAGAGAGACGGAGAGGGGAGGTATAGGGTAGGGGGGAAATCGAGGGTGAATCCGCGGAATACAAAATCGCCAGAAAGTTACGAGAAAGTTTAACCGAGTTTAATGCTCCAAACGCATAACATCGTCACGTTTATGGTACCCACCATACACCAGCAACAGCAACAGCAACAGCAACAGCAACAGCAACAGCAATAGCAACAGCAACAGCAGCAGCAAAAGCAGAAGCAGAAGCAACTGTTAACAAACTCGTAGTCAATCGTTTCTGCATACACGAGAGAGTGTATGTGTCTTTCAGCAACCTACCACGTCGTGATTATGCATCCAACTAAATGGGTTACTAGGATCCTTGAAGAGTCTCGATGTCATGAAACACTAACATAAACATAAACCTAAGAAAATGATGAAGAAGAACTCTCAAGGACTTATGTTTAGAACGAGTTTTGGTATCTTCTCTTAAAGCTTATCATCAAACTTATATCATCTTATTTGCTAATTTTAAATTGTTTATATGTTTTATTTTCATTCATTTATAGTGTGTTTTGTTTTGGTTTAATTATATGAGATCATATTTAGGTTTCTAGATTTTTATATAAAATGCGCATAATGTTGGATTTTTTAGTTAATGATAATAATGTTAAATTAATTAATAAAATAAGGAAAACTAATTAATACTAAACCTAAAGATATTTCTAAAAATATGTATATATATATAAAAATATAATTATTAATTATATATAATACATTATTATATATTTATATAATTTATTACATTACAATTTTAATTTATTATATTAAAAAAACTTATATTATATATTATATAGTAATAAAATTTAATAAAATATTTGTTTTAATTATATTATAGTAATTTAATATTAAATTAAAATTTTATATAATAATTTAAATAAAAATTTATATAATATATTTTTAAGTAAAATTTTATATATTGTATGTAATATAATAATTTTATATAAAAAATGTAATATTATATATTTAATATAAGAATTTATATATATAATATAATAATTAAATTTATTGTATTAATTTAAATTCAAATTAAATATATTACATTAATAAAATTATAATATAATAAATTATATTTTCTTACGTAAATTACTAGAGACATTTGACAATGCATGATGGAATTTGAGTGTTAAAATTGTGAAAAATGTTTCCACAGAAAAATTCATTAAAATGTTATTGCATGTTCGCAAAATTGTATACGTATGTATACATATTTATTTGAGATAGGTAAAACAAATTGTTTTACGTACACCGGTTGAAAGTATAATAGGATTGCGTCAAGGTGAATGATAAATTTGAGTACTAACGGTGAAAGTGATCCTCGTCACGACCCCTATAAGACCAGGAGACAAAACACATAACAATGTCAATGTGTTATATTATATAACAAATTAAAATTAAATTATTATCTTTTCAAATATTAACAAAATAATTCTATTCATCTAATTAGCTTTAATAATTATTTCATGTTCGTTCATATTTACGCTATCTCTAAAAAATAAGAAATTAATTCATTTATTGTTAGATATAAATTACTAATCATTTTACAAACATGTTGTATTATCTATGCAACCTCTACTTCCTAGCGAATATTTATTTAAATTACCATCCATTGTCATAAATATTTGCCACCGTGTTTAAATAAAACCGAACACGAAACACAGAAATTATAATAGTAATGGCAAAGCTACGTGATCGAAAGTAGCTTATGTCTCTCAAATTAGAACAATGATTAAATCTAGTCGTCAAATAAAACAACGAAACTTTCTTTTTTCTCTTTTTTACAACAAATTTCACTCAAGGACATTATATTATTGGCGTTATCGATAATTTTCCTAGAACCCTTGTCTCTTCACGTAATTTTGTTCTACTTTCTTAAGCAATGTACCACACATATACATACTCAGTGTTCAAATAACGCATTAAATCAACTTAAATCAAGTTGACTGATAAAGTAGATAAAAAAGAAAAGAAAAAAATATCAACGTGACCTATAAAACAGCACGAAAGGAATGAAACTCATGTCAGTATAGTATAATATTACCAACGTAATTCATTACAGAACTATACAAATGGGTGTTGTTTTTGAAATTATTTTCAAAGTTTTCTTCTTAACACTTTGGATATTCGTTTTATCAGTGAAATCACAGCTTACCTGTACCATACCTGGTTATTATCCATTGGAAGATACTACTTGTCAATATTATTATCATTGCAATTCTGATTCTACAGTTCAGATATATAAATGTCCCGATGGTACCGTATTCGATCCACACAGACAAGCATGCGTATTACCAACACAATATCCTTGCATACTAACTACACCAAATCCTTATCAGTGTTTAACAGCAGGTCGATTTCCCATAATCGATCCAACTTGTAAACAATTCTACTTTTGTTATTGGAATAATAATGGTTACGTTAAGAGAATATATAGATGTCCAAATGAAACTATTTTCGATCCTAAGAGACAATTATGCGTTTTACCTACAACTTATGTTTGTAGTGCAACTACTACTACTACAATGATGAATATCATTGATAAATAAATAAATATGTAGTAGTATAAATTTTATTTTAAAAGTGTCCGCAAAAAAATGTCATTTTAATTATTATATATTGTATTTATTGTATAATTGATTTTGAAAATGTTTAACACTTTAATGGCCGCTCACATATTTGTGTGATAACTGGAACAACCTTTATTGGCTGTTATTTATTTATAAATTTATATATTTACAATTATATTAAATTAAATTTGTTGCTTTTTGATTTTTGTTAATTTGTCACGTGAATTTAATACAGTATTTTAAATTAATTCTTCTAAGATATGACGACGTTTAATTAACAACATGTGTGTGATAAACGGAACAACCTTTATTGGCTGTTATTTATTAATAATTTTATATATTTAAAATTATATGAAATTAAATTTGTTTTTGATTTTTGTTAATTTGTCACGTGAATTTAATACAGTTTTTTTTAATTAATTCTTCAAAGATATGGCGACCTTTAATTAACAACATGTGTGTAATAGACGTAACAACCTTTATTGGCTGTTATTTATTTATACAAATTTATATATTTAAAATTATATAAAATTAAATTTGTTGCTTTATTGTATTTTGTTAATTTTTTCTCATGAATTTAATAAAGTTTTTTTAAATTAATTCTTCAAAAATATTACCGCCACCTGGCGACGTTTAACTGCGTAGACGTGCGGCCATTAAAGTATGGCAATAAGTTGCCATAACGTTTTGTTTGTAATTATTAAAAATGAATAAAAATTGAAATATAAAAATATTTGCCATGTACAGTCACTTTACCCAATTGATGGAGCCAATGAAAATTGTTTAATTAAATCAAATTCGCGTAATTGCATTAGAGTTTAACTTATCACAATTTTTGTGCATTATTCATTTTTCAAAAAGAAATTCTTTATGCGATTTCTTTCAGTTAGAACACCCTGTATATCTTCAATATTTTTATTGAATATTTTTCAATTGAAATGAGAATCATGTGTAATCTATAAATGAAAGTAATCGAAAGAATTTTCTTTAATAATACATTGATAGTTAATAGTTATAAAGAAATTTAATTAAAAAGTACACGCTTATTTATATAACTGTATAAACATTGTAAAAACTTCCGCAATGGTTTTGTACGTAAGAAAAAGAGAGATTAACATGAGTATACCGAAGAAAGTGTCATAGTATGCAATATTAAACTTCTTAAAACCGGACGAGGTCTGCAGCTGCTGCATGAAGTGAAAGGAAAAATTAGTTTCGAACTGACTCGCTAAGCGGAATGTCACGAACGTTATTGTTTTAAAACTATACTTTTATAAATAATTATTGTATATTAAAAATAAGGAATATTCATTAAAACTAGATGCATAAAAAGTTTCATGTGAAAAATGTGGTTTTACTTCATTAATACGATAATCATATTATTGTTCGTTAAAATAATAATTGATCGAACAAAATCAAAAAATTTACCGCCAGGTATGTAATTATTATTTCAAAATATTAATTAATTATTAAATAATAATAATAATAATAAATATAAATTATATTTTAATTTTATGGCATATATATACTATATTATATAATATAATATATATATTTTTTTATATATTTATATAATATATATTATACAACACAGTATATATTATATACTTTTTGTGTCGGAAGAGTCAAAAATTACAATTTACAAAATTTCAAAGTTTTTAAAAAGCCACAAAATTTTTTCTTGCCAACAATAAATAGTAGTTGCATAAATGAAGTTTTTTGATAAAAAAAAAAAACTAATCTATTTATTCATCGGTGCCTAATCCTCGTTAATCAATTCATAACGATTTTTATATGT